TGGTAGGAATGTAAATGGGTGCAGACATTATGGAAAACAGTAAGGAGGATCCTCAAAAAATTAAAAATATAAACTTACCACATGATCCAGCAATTCTACTTCTTCTCTTATATTCAAAGGAAATGAAAACAGGTACCCAAAAGATATATGTATTCCTATGTTTATTGCAGCATTATTCACAATAGCAAAGCTATGGAATCAACCTAAGTGCCCATCAATGGATGAGTGGGTAAAAAAGATGTGAAAGGGCCGGCCGAATGGCGAGATGGTTAAGAGTTGGCTTGGGATGCCAGAGGGCCCCGGTTCGGATCCCACATATGAGGGCCAGTGACACTGCCCTCCACAGCTAAGATGCTGTACAACAGTTCAAACTGGAGCTGGGCTGCCCTGAGTCGCCAGTGACGGCGTAGGCTGCAGCCCCTGTGGCAGTAGGTTGCCATGGGCTACAGTGTGTAGCCAGCAGCCAGCGTGAGCGGCCAGCAGCCAGCGTGAGCGGCTAGCAGCCGCTGTGAGCGGCCTTGCAGAAGCTGGCAACTGATCTGCCTCACCCAGGAAGAGCGCAATGATGGTGCCAACTTGGGCCAGTGAAGCGACGTCTTCCACAACTAGACTGAAGACCAAAAAAATGACAGCAACTTGTGTTTTTCTCTTCCCCAATTCCCCAGCGCTGTTCTCATCCCCCCAATTCCCCAATAAAAATCTTTAAAACAAAAAAGAACGATGTGAAATATATACAATGGAATATTATTCAGTCATTAGAAAGAAGGAAATCCTGCCATTTGTGACATCATGGATGGATTTTGAGAACATTATGCTAAGTGAGATAAGTCAGGTACAAAAAGACAAATACTGGGCCGGCCAAGTGGCTCAGTTGGTTAAGAGCTCGCTCAAGAGTTTGAGCTCTGAGCAACAGCGGTTCAAGTCCAGCCCGAGCTGAGCAGCCGCTGAGCTGCCAACAGGTAGCAGGATGGCTCAGCTAAAAAAAGAAGAAAAAAAAGAAAACTTCTTAAAAGACAAATACTATATGATTTCACTTACATGTGGAATCTGAAAAAGTTGAATTTATAGAAACATAGATTACAATGATGGTTGCCAAGGATTGGGGGGTGGGGGATAGGACAGTGGTTGTGTAAGGGGACAAACTTGAAAGAGTAATAAATAGATCCTACAGGTCTAAGGCACAGTACAGTAAACATAGACAACAATATTGAGTTATAACCATCAACCTTGATAAGAGACTAGAACTTTATTCCAACAGCTAAAAAAATGATAATTACGTAACATGATGGAGGAGATAATTACACTACAATGCAATCATATTACAATATATACTTGTAAATCTTTCAGATTAACATGCTGTATACCTTAAATTTACACAATGCTATATGTCTAATATATTTTAATTAAAAAAAGGAAATTATTTAAGGGTATCTGGGAAACAAAGCAGTCATACACACAATAAAGAGAATTTAAGTGAACTTCTGTGCCATGACTTCCAGAACATAGAATGTGGAGAACTGAATGATGACCCCACGTCCTAATCTCCAGAGCCCGGAAATAAGTTATTTACCTGGCAAAGGAGACTTGGCAGATGTGATGAAATAAGGACACTGAGGTGCAGAGATTACCTTGGATTCTCCAGGGAGCCTAATGTGATCACAGGGTCCCTAAAAGTGGACGAGGGAGGCAGCGGGGAGGGTCAGAGAAAGAGATGTGATAATGGGAACAGGTGGGCGACAGGTAGCAGGAGAAGGACTTGCCCCGCCATTGCTGGCTTGAAGATGGAGGAAGGACCCTGAACTGAGGGATGTGGATGACCTGTAGACACTGGAAGAGGTGAGGAAATGGATGCATCCCTGGAACCTCCGGAGATGCAGCCCTGCAGACACCGTCGCTTGAGCCCAGGGGACCTGTGTCACGCTTCCAAGTTCTACACCTGTGGGTTCATAAATGTGTGCTGTTATGAGCATGAAGTTTGTGGGAATTTGTTACAGGAGCACTGGGAAATGAGAAAAATGGAAAGATGCAGGACAATATGGAATGTGCTAATTGTCTTTTTTTTTTAACTTTCAAAATATATTTTATTTCTTCTCATGTGCATTTTGCAAAATTCCCAGGTAGACGTTAGCTTCATATACAGAAACAGAGTTCTTTAAGAACTGCCATTGAGTCCATCGCAAGGCCGATCAAGTTTCCATAAGGGAACAAACGTGCACATTATCAACACTACAGAGGTCCACCGCAGTTCTTACAAGCGTCTCTCGTTTAACCCAGGCCCCCGAGCCGACGCAAACATCATTGCCCATGTGCAGGCGCAGCCGTGACCTGGAAAGAAAGCAGCAACATTCCACCCTCCACGGCGGTTTCAGCTCAGAGACGTCCATCTCCCCAGTGTTTGGCGTCTGCACTGTTGACTTTTAGGGGTCAGTTCTGAAGTTCGATTAAGGACACGTCCTCTTGGGGATAAATTTTACATAAATTCTGTAATTTGCTAAACTGTCAAACGATTAACTGCACTAAATATGCGAAGAAACTATCGCAAGTATTTTATTCCCTACATCTCTGCATCCTCCTCATCCTCCTCCTCATTTTTGGCTCTGAAATGCATTTTCCGGAATTCTCGTCTGCTCACTGAAGGGCAAGATGAAGACTCTGGTGGGAGGTCCTGCATGAGCTCCAGGTTCCCGAAGAACCGACTCACTGGCATCGGCTGACTGCTGTCGTCGTCCAGGAAGACGCTGCTGTCCATCTGGAGCGGGGCGACCTGGCCCTGGCCCGGCTCCGGCGTGGGCTCCTCCCACGGGGCAGGGCTGCTGTTAGACCGTTTTTCAGGAAGGGCACCCTGCTCGGGCAGGGACAGGCCGTCTTCCCTCTCTGCTGAGCAGGCGTCACTCCCGCCTGTGCAGTGACTGACGGGGAGGCCTGCCGCCTCCGGTGGTACAGAAACGCCGGCTTCCTTTCCTGGGAGCACCGGGCCGCCTTCGGCAAACGCCAGGGGCTCATTTTTACAAGCGGTCTCTGGTGGTGCTGCGGACAGCAGCACTGTCGGTCTTAGGGACTAGTTTCTGTAATTCTGATTTCACTAGGTGACCTTTGTCATACTTGAACTTCTTGGAAATTCGCCTCTCGGTGGCTTTGTGTGACGAGGAAGTCTGACATACCGTCCGAACGGACTTGGCGATGCTGACTTCCTGAGCAGTGGCCGAGCTGGCGGAACAGGTCCGGACCCTGAGGCGCGCTGAAGCCCGCACTCCACCTGTGAGCTTCCGGCTCCTCATGAGTGTGAGAGGCATGCTGCCGCCCCCAACAACACCACCGAGTCCCCGCGCTCCGGCCTAGCGCTCTACAACGGAGCAGCAACCAGAAGGCCCTCCACCGGGGCTGTCTTTTTAAAGATTTTTATTGGGGAATTCGGGGGATGGGAACAGTGCTGGGGAATTGGGGGGAGGGGAACAGACAAGTTGCTGTCGTTTTATTCTTCAGTTTAGTTGTGGAGGACGTTGCTTCCCTGGCCCAAGTTGGCACCATCATTGTGCTCTTCCCGGGCGAGGCAGATCAGTCGCCGGCTTCTGGACAGCCGCTCACTGCGGCTGCTGGCAGCTTACGCTGGCTGCTGGCCACACACGGTAGCCCGTGGCAACCCACTGCCACAGGGGCTGCAGCCTACGCCGTCGCTGGCGACTCAAGGCAGCCCAGCTCCAGGTTGAGCTTCAGCATCTTAGCTGTGGAGGGCAGTGTCACTGGCCCTCATATGTGGGATCCGAACCGGGGCCATCTGGCGTCCCAAGCCAGCTCTTAACCATCGTGCACTCGGCCGGCCCTGTGCTAATTGTTTTAAAGGGAGTAGGTGGAATAAGCTCATGTGTATGTTTATTTATTTTTACACATATGTTTTCATTCTGAAAACCAGAATTAAAAAAAAATATTTACCTCCAACATGTGGGGTGTAAGGGGAAGGGGCTAGGATGAAGTGGTCATCTCTGAATGCACCATTTTATGTAGTTTTAACTTTTGCAACTTATAAATATTCTATGTATTCCAAAACACAATTAAATCATAAAATATGGGAAATGCACATGACATGAATATAAACAAATAAAAATAAAGATAAGCTGGGCCGGCCGAGTGGCTCAGTTGGTTAAGAGCTCGCTCAAGAGTTTGAGCTCTGAGCAACAGGGTCCCCGGTTTGATTCACGGCTGGAGCTGAGCAGCCGCTAAGCTGCCAACAGGTAGCAGGATGGCTCAGCTAAAAAAAAAAAAAAAAAAAGATAAGCTTATATCCAATACTACAGCCACAGGGTAAAACCCCCCCAAAAATGATATGAATCTGTTAGGAGTTGGAGTTCCATATAAGGCTAAAAGGACAACGTAAAAGTGAACCCTGCAGTGCTGTGCTGGGGTGGGAACAGCTGTGTAAATTGACACTGCGCATCCTCCCTGACCCTCAGAGGTCCACAAGGAACAAAACCCCAGCAGCCTTGAGCTCACATAACCCCCGGCCCTGTGTGTTCCAAGTGTTGTTCCCACCGGAAGGAACCACAGACTTGGAGGAAAGGTTGCCTTGGCCCAGGGCAGAAGGGAGATGCATAGGCCTGGGCTGCATTTACTCCAGAAAGCAGGACAGAGCACAAAGGAGTGGGTCTTCTCAGAAAGCACAGCAGGACCCCAAAGGACCCTCCTTGGCCACATTTGGGAGCTGAGCACCAAAACTTACAATGAGGACATGCCCTACTCTCTGAGCAGGACGCAGGGCCCTGCAGGCGCCCCCGTGTGGGAAGAGCCCCCGCTCCTCCCTGAGACTGACGCACAGTCGCACAGTCAGGAGCAGAGAGGGTTCCACACAGCTCCAATGAGGGGGAAACCCTGAGTGGGGGCAGAGTGAGCCTTCCCCTCACAGTCTCCTGTCTGTGCTGGGGACAGGGAGGGGGCGGTGCAGTCACCCTGCTCAGCCCTGCTCTGCAGGATGCGGGTGACTGGGGCCTCCTCCTTGGTCCTGCCTCCCGGCCACACGGGGGCCCAGCGCAGGTACAGCCCACCCAAGGCAGTGCCTCAGAGTGAAGCCGCAGCCTCCAGACCCGGGAGCCCACTGTGTGCCTGGCTGGGCTTCCGACTCTGGTGGTCAGAGGTTTGATGAGATGTCACCGGGTGGAGTCAGGGTCTGTCTGCCCAGGAACTGGATTCCAGAAGATTGGGGGCCTCCTGAGACCACAGAGTGTCGGATGCCAGGTGTATGAGACTCCTCATTCTGCTGTGACAAATTAGCACAAGCATGGTGGCTCACAACACGCTTTATTATCTTATGGTTCTGGGAGTCAGAGTCTGAAATGGGCCTCACTGGGCTGAAATCCAGGTGTCTGCAGGGCTGTGTTCCTTCCTGGGGACACCAGGGGAAAGTCAGTTCCTTGTCTTTCCAGGGTCTGGAGGCCCCTCATTCCATGACATGTGGCCCCTTCCGCTGTCCTCAAAGCCACCCCTGCCGGTGAGTCCTTCCCGTGTAGCATCACTCACACTGATCATCTGCTTCTGTCCCCCACCTTTGAGAAGCCTGGTGATGGATGATACTGGCTATTGTGAATGCTGACTGCTGTGGGCGTGAGAGCAATGACACATGAGGCCCTGCTGTCATTTCTTTGAGTGTTGGACCATTTCTTTTCTCGGTCATGAGGTGATCCTGGGCTAAGGTTTTCAGGAACTGTCACATCACCTTCCAGTGGCTGCACTGTCGTGCAGTCCCACCAGCAGTACACACAGGTTCCAGTTCCTCCACTTCCTTGACACACTTGCCCCTTCCCCCTTAAATTATATTTTTTAAAATCACAGTCATCCTGGTGAGTGTGAAGTGATAGCTCACTGCGGCTTTTGTTTGCATTTTCTTCTCTGGACTTCTGATCCAAGACACTGGGGACCCAAGGACCACAGATCAAGGAAGGCAGAGATCATTCCAGGAAGACAAGAAGTGGGTGCAGGGATGCCCAGGACAGGTGCGGTTTGAGCCCCTGGGTAAGGTGGGTGACAGGTGTGAGTCTTAGAGCCCTGGGGCCGTCCCCTGGGACCCTGGGGTCTAATCTCTCTGGTGGGCGCCCTCCCGAGTTCCGTGTGGGGACCTGCGCTGGCTGTGCCCAGCTTCTGCCAGAATTGCCACCAGGATCAGCAAGACCACACCAGCCAGACTGATGCGAATACAGTTCTCCACCGTGTAATTCCGGGAGGCAGGGGCTGGAAGCAGAGAACAGTAGTCACTAACAGGTGGACAGGACCCAGCCCAGACCTGGATCTATGAAACAGGAGTTCCTTGTCCTTTGGGCACAGAACCTGTCCTGCCCAGCACTCCCTCTGGACACACTCCCAGGTGATCAACCTGTCTGGGAGCCTGCTTCTGTGTGGGGGTGTGTGACTTCATGGGGGGCTCCTAGAAGTCAGAGTGATGGATGTCTCAAGCAGCCTTGCCCTAGTCCCCCTCCCCCCTCCCACCATTCTCAGGCTGACCTGCCACCACAGCCCTAACCAGGCCCCTGCCTCCCCCGAATCCCTCCACTCCTTCCCCACCCAGAGACCCCCGAGACCCCTGAGTCCACAACCCCAGGTTCCACAACCCCAGGTCCCACAACCTAGTCAACTAGAGGACTCCAGGGCAGCACACAGGTGGAACGTTTAGACCTGCCTTTCGTCAAACTTGCTCAGGGATCTAGGGTGACTCTCCCCACTCCTGGCTCTGAAACCCCCCAGGAGTGAACAGGCCTCCTGCTGTAGGAGGGTGCTGAGTGTCCACTCGACCACTGAGAGAAAAAGGACCCCTGCCGCACTGCCACCACACTGCCCACTCCACAGCTGAGCCCCTAGGTGAGGACGCCCAGACTGAGAGGTCTCTACTCCCCAGCCCAGGAGGGGGCTCAGTGTGGGGAGCTGAGGGGTCCTGTGAAGGGGGCAGGAGAAGGGCTGAACCTGAGCTCCCTGGTCAGTTCCACTATTCCTGGCCCCTCGCCGCCTGCAGCGTCCACACCTGGCCTCTTTCTCTCCACCTCTCAGTATACATGACACCATCTGGACTCCCAGGAAAGGTGACAAAGAGATGTGGGGACACAGTGATGGTATTCTCTCTGCTTTCACTTGGCTGAGGTGCTGGACACCCCTCAGAACACCCCACACTCCCTTCTACATGAGCACAAAGCAGCTGATCCCTGGTCCATAGGGCTGGCAGGAGACACCTCACCTGGCCACAGGGTCAGAAGGTCCCGGAGGCTGATCCCACCTAACAGGACAACTGTGCCACCGACAGTCACCAGGTCAGGCACAAGGTCAGGATAAACTGGGCAGATACCCCCAGACCTGGACAATGAGGGCCACCCCTGGACGATGTGCACTGACTCATGGGATGTCCGAGTCATAGCAGGATAAATACAAAAGGGAGAGAAGGTGCTCAGTGTGAGGGGAAGAACTCCCCCTCCGCCATCCCTCCGTGAGGGGCGTCATCCTCCTCACTGAACCCTGACTCCAGAACACACTTCAGGGGCTGACTGCCCACAGGGGAAGGACAGCCTCAGCCCAAAGGTGCCTGAAAGCACCGTCCTGCTCTGGTCAGGACCCCCCTGGACCGTGTGACTTGCCCAATGAAAGGTGGAACACACCACAAGGGACATACATGTGGCCTGGGGCCCCCACAGAGTGGGGCTCAGTGAAAAGAAAGGTATAACACCATCCTGAGCAAAAGGACACATGTTCCCTTGAAGGGGGTCTGTCCCCACCTGATCTCTGGAGCCCCACTCCCCACCCATCCCAGCAGGGCCGGCTCCCTGCCCACCCCCATGCTGGGCTGAGTGTCCAGGCCATCATGGTGTCCAGATGGGGCCAGGGCTCCAGGACCTGAGCCAGGTGTGAAGGCCGAGTGACATGTGTGCAGACGGGCAGGGGAGCCAGAGGCTTGGGAGTCCACAGGAGGGCAGGGAGCCTGAGGATAGAGAATGCAGCTGGGGACAGGGTCCAGGGACCTGGGACAAACCTGAGGGCAGAACGGGGACTGGCTCATCCTTCAGCTTCAGTTCCAGGAACTCACTGCGCTCAGACCAACTGGACCCTTTCATGTAGGCACAGCGATAAGGCCCAGCAGTGACTTCACTCACTGCGGGGATGAGGAATCTGGCCTCCGTCTCCAGTGAACCACGTTGAGGTATATTTTTCTGATCCATGAATGTAGATGTATTCTCCTTCTGCTCCAGGCGGAATCTGTGAACCCCAGCAGGGCCCCCGCACAGGATGGTCACAGGCCGCCCCCGGGCGACCACAGGGCCTGGCTCGGCTCTGATGGAGGGTCTGGGCAGGCGCCCTGGGAGGAAGCAGAGCAGGATGTCAGGGTGCAATCTGAGGAAATAGCCTTTCCTTCCCTGTGAGGGACAGGGGGGAAATGAGGCAGAGACCGCTGTTGACTCCACATCTGCACTCTCCATCCTCATTCGAATCAGACCATCACTTTTGACCAGGCACAGTGCCTCATGGAACAAAAGAAGACACCTGACCCCCACCCCCAGGATCAGTTCTGTGCAGCCGTGTGACAATGTCTGCCAGTAAGATGGAAGGAGCCTTGTTGGTGAGGTTCCCAGGAGGGCAGCTTAAAGGGTGGTAGTTAAGCCTGGAGCCCCCTTTCCTATTTCTGCCCTTCTTTGCCATCCACCCTGTAAACAAATGGCTGGAGCTCTGGCAGCTGCCATGCATCAAGAGGCGACCTTAGTGCTGGTGGCCATGAACTAAGTTGTGGAACAGAATGAGAAAGCCTGCAACCCTGGTGACACACTGAGGCTGCCCCACTGTCTTTGGCCAAACTCCTCAGAGGCTGCATCTCCATGCATGCGAGAGAGATAAGCTGCCAGACACTCTGTATTCTATGCAGTGATGTTGGGGATAACATGGAGTGATGAGGGAGGATTGATACAGACAGAGCTGTGATGAGTGCCCACAGGTATAAGGAGAGCACATAATAAGGAGACCCTTCCCCGTCTGGGAAGTCAGGGGGACCCCTGGGGAACAGGTGTCTGAGCTGGGATGTGATGGACAAGTAGCAAGTAGCTTGGCTGAGCAGATCGGTGGAGTCCGGGGTGTGGATGGTGGAGAACTCAGCTGTGAGATGGTCCTGAGTGCATGGTGAGTGCAGCATGTTTCAGAAACTGAAAGAAAACCAAAACATGTGTGGTGATAAGGGCATCAGACAGAGTAGGGCAGGACATGGCCAGAGAAAGACAGGTTCAGAGGCAATACTTTGATAAGAGATCAAATGCAACCTCAATTTAATGAGTGAAGGGTTTCAGCTGGGAAGTAAAATCATCAGACTGGTGTTTTCTAAGTCCACCTGCAGGAGAGAATAGGGCAGAGCGGGCAGGAAGAGGCCTCGGAGGCCCCAGTAGCTGCTGTGGGGGTGAGAGCTGCTGGAGCTCAGATTGGGGAGACGGCGCCCAGTGGGGATGTGGGCACATGTGAGGACACATGGGGTGAAATCAACGGGGTTCTGTGATGGAGTAAATATGGGGCGAGAAGAGGGGGATCAAGTATGACTGTTATCTAGTCTTGGACCAACAACATTCACTGAGAGGAGGGGCAGTGATGAATCAGTTTGGAGTGGGTGTCCAGGGTTCAGTTTCAGATCTATTGGGTCTCAGGGGTCTGAAAATCAGTGGTGATGTCCTGTGGGTGTTTGCAACTGTCAGGAGAGACTGAGGAGTGAGCCTCATCTGAGAGAACTGGGATTTGGAACCCTCCTGGAATCTACATGAGCAGCCCTTGGGTTGGGAGTGGTTAGGAATCAGGTAGAGATGACTCACCGTTTTGCATGTGGATCACCTGGCCCAGGCAGAGCACTGGAAGAGAAGCCCAGTGAGAAACACGCCCAGCGCCTAGTTTCCTTAAATGAGGTCAAGGTCAGTGTGCTGTCGGGAAAGACTTATCCATCGTAATCCTCAAACCACCTTCATCAACGTGACTCCCAGTGGGTAGCTTCCTCTCCCCATAGTAGGTTCCAGTCAACCTCCCAACTGGACCCACCCAGCAGGCCTTTCTTTATCTGACCTGTCCCTATCCCAGTGTCTAGGACACGTTAGAGACCATGGACCCTCCATGGTCGGCTTAATGGAAAGGTGACACAGAAGAGACAGGGCCTGCAGGGCTGACTTTTTCCCCAAGGCCCCCCAGGTCCTCGACTAGAGGCTGGATTGAGGCGGGGCCTGGACCCCACCCAGAGTCTCCCACCGCCTCCGTCCCTGTGGTCCTCCCCATGTTCCCACTCACTGAGGCCCAGGAGGGTGGTGGGATTGGACGACATGGCCAGCATCTCGCCGTCTGCTTTGTTCTTGTCCTGGGGATGGGAGGACAGGGCCCTGCAGGTCAGGAAGTAAGATGTGTTTTCAGGGGCCACGTCACAAGGCTCATTTCCGTGGCCTCACAGGAAGGGAAGCAGGCTGCCCCAGGCCCAACTCTAGCTTCCCCTATTTCGGTGCAGAGACGACTTGGTTTCTGGAAGGCATTTCTAGTGAGATATTTCATACCAGCTGAACCCATGTCCAGATGTAACCCCATAATATTAATTCATAATAGATAGAGGTAGGTGATAAAGCTATAAATAGAGAGATGATAGGAAGATAGAGATATAGATAAATAGATGATAAACAATAGGTAGATGGATAGTAAGTATACACATAATGATAGATAGAAATATAGATATAGACAGATGACAGATGACGAATGAGTAGCTAGAGATAAGTGATAGGTAGATGAATAGATAAATGATAGATAGCTAGACAGATACATAGCTATGTAGGTAGATACATAGATACACAGATACTTACATAAATATATAGATAGTAACAAAGATACTTAGATATATAAATAGAAACCTAGAAGAATAGATTGATAATTGTGTAGATACTTAGATTGATACATAGATAGGCAGAATATAGGTGAGGAAACTTGCTGACTTGGCTTCTGGTCCTAACAGGCTGACTAATCCCAAACCATACTTTTCCTCTTGCAAACACTTTGGTTTCTCACATCCAAAATGGGAACCACAAAAATCCCCTGACAACTTCATTTATTATGCGGGCGGTGCACACAGAGGTGAGTGGCACATTGGAAGGACACTCAGTCAGGGCCCCTCATGCTGTCCAGGCACGATGCCCTTGTCTCTACACCCCTCTGTGTCCTGTGACCCTGGGCCACTCTCTGCACACTCCCCCGACTTCCAGCCGGCTCTGGTTATTTCTAAACTGAACGCCCTACACCTGCTGGTACAGAAGTAAATCCACTAAACAAATGGTTGTGTTGTTCAAATGGTGGGCGGGGCTTCTTGGACTGTTGGGTTTGCAAAGAACCAGATGGGTCTGGGCTGGTGGCTGGATTCCCGTCTGGACCCTGGTAGGCGTCCCTGGGTCCGTTTATGGCACAGAACACAGGCACCGTGATAGGGAAGGTGGCCTCGTAGCTTCTTTCCCTGACAACATTGAGTCATACCATCATGACTTCCCAGGGGAGAGGCCAGCCCTGTGAGGAGGAGATGAATAAGTGAACAGGGATGTGGAGGGAAAGACCTGAGGCCTCTCAGGGTCACAGCCCAGCGAATGGCTGCTGAGGCCACAGCACCAAGCGGGCTCTCAGGAAGGGCTGGGGTCATTGGGAAGGGACTTCCTCACGGTGCTGGGTCAGCCAGGTAAGGTCTGATAGAGAGGGGAGGGGTCTGCCCCTCTGGCTGTCATGTCCTGTACAGGTGGGGCCCAGTCTCACCCAGGGCGCAGACCTGAGGCTCTCCCCAGACCCGGATCTCAAGCCCTGGGGGAGACCCAGCCCAGTGGTCACTGTTGTTCAAGGAGAAGAGAAGCAGGCTGCCGGTGTCTGCCATCCCTCTGGGCACCAAGGCCATGTGCTTTATGAGTCTTGGCCTGAACCCCCATCTGCCCAGGCGTCCGTGTTCCCCAGCCCAGCTGACCCACCACCCCTAAGAAACAGAAAGTCCGGTCCATGGGCCCTGCCCTGGGACAGAACCCAGGAAGTGGCCCTGAGGACTGGGGACCTTAGCAGTGTGACCTTAGTGGATGGCATCCCCTACGTGCTGCAGGGAACCTGGGGTCTGTGGTTACAGCCACTCCCTCAGAAAAGCATTTCTCTTTCTACGTGAAAACAACCGCCCTCCATTTCCAAAGAAAAGGTGGCAACACTTCCTATGCTGAGACCCGCCCCTGTGTAGAGACAAGCACAGCAACCATCTGGTGCCACTCGCTGCCCCCTGAGTGGCCACTTGTGCTTAGGTGGGGTCACCCCAGGTGGAAAGTGGTGGAGGGAGCAGCAGGGCACGGTGCAGGTGAACCAACTGTCCACCTGAGAGAGCTGTGCTCAGGGCTGTGCTGCAGACCTGGAGGGCGCTGTGGATGCAGAATGTGTGCCAGGGACGCAAATGGTGCTTAAGGGACAGGAGAGTATAAAGGGGCCTCTAAATGGCTTCTCATGTTGGGGAGAAAAATTGATACATGTGCTCGAAAAATCGGGGAGAAGTAATAACAACAGCCAGCATTTGTCTATCTTTTTCCAGTGACAGGGTGCTGCTTTATTTCACTGGAGCACCGTTAAAAGCACTACAGGTATATGCCATTGTTTGGGAAAACAATGTGCAGAAGTTAGAGTACTGCCTGTCAGTGATGGACCATTACAGGTCTGTAGTAGGTTGTGTGAGTGCATGTGTGTCTGCGTGTGTGTGTGTGCATATGTGTGTGTGTGTGTGTGTGTGTGTGTGTAGCAAAAATGATGAAATGCAGTTCAGCAGAAAAAAATGTCTTTGTTTTGTCCATCACTGACCTAATCTTACTTAGGAGCTGCCCTACATAATAAGAGAGGGTGCACACACAGACACACAGACACACAGACACACAGGTACAGGTAGTCTCTCTCTCTCTCTCTCTCTCTCTCACACACACACACAGCCCTTCCCAATCATTATAAACACTCCTTTAGGTTAAATTCTGTCTTTCAGGGTCCCCCTCTCTATGCTCCTTCCCATAATGGTGTCCAGGGTGCAGGGAGCAGGTGGCCAATGTGACTGCTGGGGGATGAACAGCTCTGTGCCCTCCTGCTGGACCCTGGGCCTGAGCTGCTGGGTCTGTGCTGTTTCTTCTTCAGGTTGTTGGAGGCCTCGCTGATGTCTGTGCCCAGGGGTCATGGGGCCCATTCTCTGTCTGCTCCCTTGGGACCTGGTGAAACTTCTGGTCATCTCCACGTCCACTTTGTCCCAGGGGTTCAGAGGACGTGTCTGAACATCCACTCCTGCCCCATCTGGTCTAAGTGGGATCTCCCCTCCCACATGGGACCCCCTGTGGCCCCCAGCATTCACCCCGAATATACCTCAGGGGAATTGGGGGTCCCAGTGCAAGGTAGATCTCCTCTCTACCTGGTCATGTTGAGCCACCAGGAGAGCTAATCATGGCTTGTCCAGGTGGCACCTGGGGGCCACAAGCAGGAATGTCCCTGTATCCCATGGCCCTGTCCTGTCTCCTGTTCCTGGCAGCTTGAAGGGTCAAGTAGAAAAGACTTAGTCCTGACCTGGGCTCTTCTGTTCTCTTCCTGAGCCCCCCTCGTCTTCCCACCAACCCCACGAGATGGGAGAGATTTCTGTTTTCTTTTAAATTTCTCCCAAACTGTGTCTCTCCTCACTGTGTCCTCGCTGCCTGGACTCATAGGATGTCTTTTCACTGAGCAGATGTGGACCTGATCAGCTGTCCGAGTCAGACAAGCCAGAATTTAGGGGAAATGCACCTGTCTAACTGTGATGGTTAATTGACGTGTCAACTGAATGGGCTCTGCAACCCTGAGAGCTGGTAAAATACTATTTTTGTGTGGGAGCGCAGGGGGTCCCCACCTGGTTCAGATGGGGCAGGAGTGGATGGTCAGACACGTCCTCTGAACCTCTGGGATAAAGCAGATATTGAGATGACCAGAAGGTTCCCCAGTCATGTCTTTCCAGAGGCTTCTGGAAAGATGGAATTAAACTTATAGAGACTAGCATTTTATTCAGTGGACTGAGGAGACGGGCCCTCCCCAACGTGGAAGGCATCGCCCAATCCCCTGGGGCCCCAATAGAATAAAAAGAGGAAGGAGCTGAGATGCCCATCTCTCATGCCCCCTGACATTGAGCTCCTAGTTCTCAGGCCTTTGGGCTCTGTGACTCACCAGCTGCTCTCCAGTTCTCAGGCCTTCAGGCTCAGACTGAGTTATACCACCCACTCTCCTGGGTCTCATGTGTGCAGATAGCAGAGGGTGGAACTTCCGGAGTCCATAACCCGTGAGCCTATTTCTGTACTAAATCTCCCCTTCTATGTACCTATGTAACCTATATATCAGAGCCTATTGGTTCTGTTTATCTGGAAAATTCTGGCTAATACACTAATAGTCAGTAACCCCCAAAAACAAATGTAAAAACTATAGTTAGGAAGCAGATCTCTAGAGGAAATTCACCTTGAGTACAAACAGAAAATTAAAGATCAGTACAACTTGAGTAGGGAGGCTGGCTGCCCACCCTCTCTAACCCAGGATAGAAACCTCCCAGCAAGTGAGATGTAGCCTGTCCTGAGGTCAGAACAAAGAGTCAGGCCCCCCACACGGGCTTCAACCTTGTCACTTAGAGCTGGTTGACTTTGGACATGTCAATTAATGTTCCAGCACCTAGTTTTTTCCCAGAAAAATGGAGAAACAAGTAGTACGTGTTGTAGAGGGTTCGTAAAAGCATTCATTGTGCTAATGTTTGCATAGAACTAAAATAGCAATTGCACCATTGGAAGAGCTGGCTGAGGTTTTGTTGAACTTTAAAGAATAGTCTTTTAATATATAATAACATTTTAAATGCCAGGCCTGTAACAGGCATGCAGGTTTTTTATATTAAAAAAAACCACCAAAACCCCCCACAAAAATTAATCAGAACGAGACTCTGCTGCCCCCTAGCAGTCCTCAGGGTAACGTTCCGTTTTAATCTGACGGGACTGAGGGTCTGACCCTATACGTGGCAGGAGACAGACATGTCCAACCCACAGCGGGCTGGGAGACCTCCTGGCGACAGGGTCCCGGTCCGGGGACGTATGGGGTGGTATAGATCCCAAATGTTTCTTTATGCAGTCTTGTTTAAGCTCTGCATCAGTCAGCAATCTTGTTAAGTAACCAGTGGGCAGTTGTGGATGGGACCTAAGTCTGCATGAACAGACAGTAAATAACACAGGCCAAGATTTAAGAGATCTAAGATGGTGGAATAGAAACACACACACGGACACACACACACACACACACACACACACACACACACACACACACACAAATAAAATAAAACATGTTTTACCACAAAAGCCCAGGAAAATGTAAGGTATAAATAACCAAATGTGTGTGTGTGTGTGTATATATATATATATATACATACACATACACACACACACACATGTGTACTGTAATTTTCTTATGCTCTGAGCCAGAAAGAATCAAACTAAATAAACTGAGTTTCAAGAACAAACAAAATAACACAGGAGACATGGGAAAGGGAGGAGGGATGCGTTGACATAGCAGATTCAGGAGGCCCAGCCCTGTGGTCAGTGATTCAGGGGTCAGGGAGGTGAGACGGTAGCTCCCATGTATGGAATTCAAGAGGTCTGGGCAGACTTGACACCATGTAACATGGGACAAAGATGAAGAGCAGATTCAGGAAAATGGGGAGTCTGCTCTGTGCACCCCACAAAGCCAGGAGCTCTGGGGCAACAGCTCCCCAAGGCAGCCACACCCTTTCCCTGGGTCAAGGCCTTCTCACTGTCAGAATGTGTGTGATTAGGAGAGTGTAACTGTTACAGCCAGTGGACCCCAAAATCTAGTGACTCACCTGAGGGAGAAGGTAACTTCCCACCCAAGTAAGCAGGTGAAAGGCACTCCAGCTCAGCAGTAGGGGTGGTTTAAAATACTGTGATTAATAGTAAATTGGAGAGATAGGCTGACAGATCAGGAGACAACGGCTGTTGAGGACAGTCTGTTACTCAAAGTTCCCAGGAGGAGGGGACACTCGAGGAAGCAGCAGTGTCGCTCAGTAGCGGGAGGAGGGGAAATCGTAGGCAAGGGCCTGTGATGTGGTTTCCAGAAGAAGAAATGGGCAAAACAGTGTAAGTGGGCTTAGGAATGTCTGGTTTAACTGCTCCAGTGGGCTCTGGAGTGCAAAGGTTGATGCTGGTTGTCTGGTACCTGGACCTGGGGTGATAACAGCAGGCAGATGGTGTCCCAAAGTGTGACCATGTCATAAAGGAGGTGGTGGGGATGTGGGCTAAAGATTGGCTGGTTTATATTTAAAAAGTGACTCCAGGAAGAGGTCACTTGCTCAGGACGGGGGTGTGGGTAATGAGGGAGGCAGGAGGCCAATGCAAAGTGACTGGGGCATATCATAGGGTCATCTAGGACAAGGTGTGTCTGACATATACCTGGAGGACAGATGTTAAAGCATCAAGTTTACAGACACCTGAAACGTGGCGAATCCAAATGGGAACAGAGGCTCTGCTGCATAGAGTTGTCCTGGGAACTGATGCCACCTCCTACTTAAGGCTTCCAGTGTCACCCAGGACATTCGTATCCGCTAGCAAAGGGAAGTGCAGTGAGGGCCTTATGTGAGGGGTTTATGGGCCAGGGCTGGAAGCAGCTGCATCACTCCTGCTCACACACTGGCTAAAATTCACCCCTGGACATGCCCAACTGCCAGAGGGGCTGGAAAGGAGGTCTCACTGGAGCCCAGGAAGGGAGGACACTGTGCTGTGAGCAGCCACAGTCCTGTCACACAGGGCACCTCTCACTTTGGGCACCTGGGGGTGGGTATTGCCATCTCCACTGCCCCCACCCAACCTCCTCTTACGTGGAGGTCCTAGGGACGCAAAACTTCATCAGACTCTGAAACGTCTGACATTTCAAAAACTAGTGGGAGAAGGAAACATTCCCGCAGGAGAGTCAGAATTCACAGCAAAGTGTTCAAGCCCAGAGGAAGCCTGTGGATGGAGGCCATACTGAGGACAGACACCCACTCAGGTAGACAGAATAACGGTCCCCAGGGGTGTCCACGTCCGATCCCTGGAACCAGCTGGTGTGTCCCCTTATGTGGCAAAGGGGTATTTGCAAGTGTGACTGAGTTAAGGATATGGAGATGGGAGACCCTGGATTCCCCAGGTGGGCCCAGTGTCATCACCAGGGTCTAATGAGAGGGAGGCAGGAGGGTCAGGGACAGAGGAAAGGAGCTGTGCTCACAGAAGCAGGAGTCCTAGTCAGAGAGCAGGATTTGAGGAAGCTGCAGTGCTCCTTGAGGGTGGAGGAAGGGGGCATAAACCAAAGAACCACCTAGAAGCTGCAAAAAGTAAGATGGATTCTCCTGAGACTCCAGAGGGAGTGCAGCCCTGCGGACACCTTGATTTTGGCCAGTGAAACTGATTTCAGACTTCTGACGTCCTGATTAATAAGACAATAAATTGTGTTGTTTGAAGCCACTAAGTGTGTGGTAATTTGTTACAGCAGCCACAGGGAATTAATACTCTCATTGTTGAGGAGGAGTTATTGTAAGTTTATTGGGAAGAACAGCATCGAATCCCAGACTTGGAGGTCATTAGCTAGGTGAGGGATGAAGGTCAGTCAGATCAAGGACAATGTCTGAGAGCTGATCAAGGACAATGTCTGAGAGCTCTTGTGTTTGGAGAATGCATGGCATCCAGTGGGGATGAACCTGGGATGTGGATGGGAAGTGGAAACTGCCATGTTCCTCCAAGTAGACTAAAAGCCTGAGGGACCCTCCTGTGCAATCATGGCCTTGCCAAACCCTCAAGCAGTTTACACACGTGTCCATGAGCATGCATATGTGCATGTGTATGTATGCATTTGTACAGTGTGTGCATGTGTGTGTATGTGTGCACGCATGCATTCATGGGTGTGTGCATGTGTGTAGGTGTGTATGTGTGTGTGTGCATGTGTGCATCCATGGGCATGCACATGTGTATGTTTGTATAGCGTGTGCATGCATGTTTGTGTGCATTAATGCATTCATGGGCATGTGTGTGTATGTGCATTTGCACCAGTGTGTGCATGTGTGTACATGCATGCATTCATGGGAGTGTGCATGTGTGTCGGGTGGGTGGGGTGTACACTCTGCACCTTAACCAGCCACACGTCCCCTCAGACGTCCCCCTCACTCATCCCTGAGACCCACACTCAGATCAGAAAGCACCGATGACTTTTTTTCCCCTCACTAAGTTTTGAGCATCTGTGGAGGCAGAGACTGGGGACCAAGTACCTGTGTACACCAACTCTTCATGCAGGGCTGCTGTGGTTGGGTCTGTGAAAACATTTATTGATAAACAAGGTGAAGCAGGATCCAGAAAAACAGGGCCCCAGCTACGAGTTGCGTAAGTATAGCCCAGGTTCAAGGTCAACAACTGGACTCTAGGAAGATCTTTAGAGTCAGATGAGAAGAAGATGGTTCAAACAGTCTCAGGGCATGTCTGGAATCAGCTGGGTGACTGTAGGACTGTATCTGGGTCTCTGGAAGCAGCCAAATGACTGCAGTTGGGTGTCTGGAAACTGCTGGACAACTGTAGCTGGGTGTCTGGAAACAGCCAGTACCTGTAGCTGGGTCTCTGGAAACAAGTGCTACGTGGGAGCGTCAAGGAGCTGGTTGATCCTAAGAGGGGCTGCTTGGTTAATGAATCTCCTAGATGTTGATTAGAGGGTCTCCAGACTCCAGCTCTTATCTCCAGGAGAACTGAGTGGATGCCCTCCAAGTGGCCACTTCAGACTCTTTCAAGAGTGACTTCCTGTGTCTCTAGGTGCAGAAGCCAGGTGGGCCTGAGATCAGCGTCTGGCAATGGCTGCATATGTGCTGGAATCAGCCATGGGCTCCGTGGCCTGTGGGGACACAGCTCTATCCGCCCTCAGTGTGAGGGTTCGGTGGTCCAGCTGGGCATATGTCACCTCCTGAGGGTCTCCTGCAGCAGGGCTCTGAGGGAGAGACCCAATGTGACCAAGGGTGAGGGGAGGGGCCTGTGGGAAGGGAAGATGGTGGCCGCCAGCCTCCAGGTGCACCCCTTGCCCCCGTGATCTCACCATCATGATGAAGCACCATTGTGTAGACCCTCCCACATAGAATCAGAGTTGGTCTATGTGACCAATCGATACGGCAGCAGTGAGGGTGTGTCACCTCCATGGAGAAGCCACAAAAGACATTGTGGTTTCTGCCCTTCCCTCTCTGGGATCCCGCCCTTTGGGGGAGGTCAGCTGCCATGGAGAAGCCCGCGGGAGGAAGAACTGAGGCGTCCTGCCCACAGCCTTAAGAGTACGCCGTCTTGGTACTTCCAGCCCCAGTCAAGCCTTCAGATGAATGCAGCCCTGGTCACATGACAGCAACCATGAGCCAGAACCATCCAGCTAATCCACTTCCAAATCTCCGATTCAGAAAACAGATGACTTTGTGGAGCTGCTAAAGTTGGGGTACTTGGTTACACAGCAGTAGGTGACTAATACAAGGACTTACTGGGGTATGCATCTCTCTGTCCTTCTCAGGAAGTTTATCGACTGTGGCAACATCTGGAGGGGAAAGGACAAGTGGTCAGTTCCCTGGGGTAAACCTTAGAAGGCAAATATGCCCAAAACCTCACAGGTTCAGATTACATCCCCGACCCCACCTAGAACATCATAGAATGTTCCCAAATGTTCCTCCTCCCCCAATTACATCTTGAATGGCACTGAAACCCACTTCCCTTCTCCCAGGCCTGTCCCCCCTCCTTGTCCCTTTACCTGGTGTCCTCTCTATGGTGTCAACAGCTGGGCTGAGCCTGAGTGGAAAGAACAAGTGAGCACAGGAGGCTCCTGGAGACAGAGGACTGGGAGGGAGTCAGGGGGTCGTGTCCAGGGGCCTTACCTCTCCTGGGGTCTCTGCTCCTCACCCTTGTTGCTGAGGGGCCCTGAGGACAGTCAGAAGTGTGAATTAGGAGGGTGTCTGCCTGGCACCCCAAAGAGCCTGCCCAGGTCACCCCACCCTGACCCTGAGACCTACCGTGTTTTTTCTGATGCTGACGGTGGACTAAGAGGAAGACCAGGAGGAGAAGACAAAGGAGGAAGGCCACAGAGACCCCAATGAGAATATAAACATACTTTGCCGAGAGGCCTGTGGGAGCAAGGAGGTTGGAACCAGAGAACCAATCAGCAGCAGGCATTTACTGAGTACCTACTGCATACCGTGCATATACTGGGTGCTTGTTATGTACAGACACATATACAAAATCTCTCACGTGCATAGTAGTCCTGCGACATGGGAACAATTATTCTCATTTTACAAAACCGGGGTCCTGAGAGCTGATGTCCTCTGTCAACAGGGCAGTGACAGAGCTGGAATATGACCAACACCAAAGCCCACTCTTTGCCCCCATCCCCCAGAGACATACACCAGGTGCATGGTCCACACTCCTCTTGTCCCATCACTCACCATGATTGTTACTGCCATGTAAACTTGTCTGTGTCTCTGTGTGAGGAACCAGGAGGACACGGGTCAAAGGCCCAAGCTGGACAGAGGAGGCCTTGAGTCTCCCAGTCCTCCCACAGAGGTCTCAGAGCCTCAGCTGCACCAGCCTCATTTCAAGGGCTCAGTGGCCACACCTGGGTAATGACATTCTTACTGAATGGCACAGATACACATTTCCTTTCTGCAGGAGTTTGTGTGGGACAGTGTTGCTCTCCACCCTTTGGCATTTTATAGAGACTGACACCCAGTAGGAAAAGGGAGTGGGAACCTTCTCTTTTGGGTTCCCAACCCAAGTGCAAGATCCCCATCTCTGATTTCTTGTTTATCACAACTGTCTCTGATGAGGGTGGAACTGCCCTTCTGTGAGCGAGGACGTTAAAACCGACATCCTTGTGTTGCCCGAAGTTAAGCGGCAAGTTGATGGAGCACCAGCCACGGTCTGGTCTTGGCGCATGCGCTGTACATCCATCACCACCTTTACGATTCACCTCCTCTGCGCAGTGTGTATTACCATGTATTTCACAGATGGTCATACTGAGGTCCTGGGGGCTTGTCTACACACAGGGTGCGAGACTTCGTGGTCCCTTTCCTGGAACAGAGCTCCCACTCCTCTTGCTGGTCCATAGGCTGAATCCTCAATATCCTTTAAAAAGGCAGGAGGGCCGGCCTAGTGGCTCAGTTAGTTAAGAGCTTGCTCAAGAGTTTGAGCTCTGAGCAACAGGGTCCCCGGTTTGATTCACGGCTGGAGCTGAGCTGCCGCTGAGCTGCCAACCGGTGGCAGGATGGCTCAGCTAAAAATAAATAAATAAAATAAAAAAGGCAGGCAACTTCACCTCCCTGAGTGTCCTTCTGTCAACACCTTGTGCTCAGTCCATGATCCAGGACCCCACCCGCTTTCTTACACATCACTGCCTGAGCTTCCCTTTATGACATTCAATTTAAAATTATATGTATATGCAATATATGTATACTATGTATAATATATTACAATGTATATATATAGTTATATTACATATTATATAAATATATTTAATATGTAATTATAATAAATATATATTTAAAATTGTTATTTAACTTACATACGTATAAATTACATGTAACTTCAAAGAAGCTACAGTATATAAGTTATAGGAATTATATTAATTATATATTTATTATATAATATATGGTAATGTTTATGTTAACATTTACACATATTAATCTTAGTAATGCATGACATAATGTATTAGGTTGTCAGAAAAGTCATGATGCATTTTTGCAACGAAAAACATAGAAAAACTACATCATGACTTTTCCGACAACCCAATATAATATATTTAATAATATTTAATAATGTACTTTCTATTCATTTGTAGTGATATATGAATGCATTTTATTATATTATATTACTTTTATTAATATGCAGTGTAAATGTGTACATTAACACAGTGTAAATTATAGATCTGAAATTTTGCATTGTACATTATATATTTATAGGTAAATACCCAGGAGATTATTGCTGGGTCATATGGTAATTCTATTCTTAATTTTTTGAGGAGCCTCCACACTGCCTTCCATAGTGGCTGCACCAATCTGCATTCCCACCAACAGTATATGAGGGTTCCTTTTTCTCCACAGCCTCTCCAACACTTGTTATTATTTGTCTTGTTCATGATAGCCATTCTAACTGCTGTGAGGTGATATCTCATTGTGGTTTTTATTTGCATTTCTCTAATGATTAATGATGTTGAGCATCTTTTCCTATGTAACGTTACTAACCATTGTCACCCCAATAAACTTTAATTAAAATTATATATTTATATTTGCACATGTATACATATATGCATTTCTTTTGTCCATTCTAATTGATTCTCCCCATTGAAGTAGGGAGAGCCAGGACCATTTCCCCTCATTCACCATAAGCATCAAGCCCACAGCAGGTGCCCGTCTGGTGCAGATGAGGTGGCAAGAAAATATTAGCTCAATATTAGTAAGAGCCTGTTCTGATGCTCCTGTTTGGCGGGAACCCATTTAAGTGCCGGGTACTGTGTAAATGACCTCCTGTGTCCCATAAACAGCGCTGCATTCAGGACCCTCCGAGAGGTGGTCTCTCATCTAGGTGACTTAGTCGCTGTTGAGGTATAACCATCAGAGGGCCCTTCTCTGTGTTCGAGTTTAGAAGCTGAGCTACTACTACTCCGTCCCTCTGTCAATGCAGGGTAGGACTCTGCCCACGAGGGGGCGGTGCAGAGCTGCGGACAAACCCTGAGGCCTGGGCTTTGGCCGCCTGGGCTGGTCCCGCCCCTTCAGAGCCTTGCGCCTTTGGGCAAAAAACTTTAACTTTATTTCTGCACATCCAAAGAAGCGGGCGCTCTTAGAAGTCAGACGAACAACGCCCATATTGGCTGTTGTTGGCATAAATGCTTCCACAGAGCCTGACACAAGGTTAGTCAATCATGTTAGTGCTGGTGTCATGGTCCCTATGAATGTTAGTTATATCCAGTGCCCTGTGGATGGCAGCCCCTTGCTGTGGTCTTACAGTCCTTAATTCTAGCCAAGGGCAGAGGGCTGGGTCCTGGAGCCTGATCCCTAGCACAGAGACATCTCCTCCCTCCCCCAAACCTCTCCAGGCTGAGGTCTGTACTCACCAGCTGAGGAGGTGGGTTCTGTGTGTGTGAGGGGAGCGGAGCTGACGATGCTGGTGACTTCTGTGAACAGAGGCAGGAGAAGGGCTAATGTATGTGGGGGCTGCCTGGGGTCTGTCCCACTCTGCCTGGCTCCTCTGCACCCTGAATGTCCACTCACAGGCCACCACTCAGTCCCAGAGGACACCTTGAGATTTCAGATATATGGAGGGGGGCAGGAGACAGGGAAAGCCCCCTCTGCTCTACACATCACTGCCTGTGCTTCCCTTTATGACATTCACCACAATTTAAAATTACACACACACACACACACACACACACACACACACACACACGAGATCAGACAATTAAATTTGTGAACTCATCCTAGAAAAAGTGCTACAGACCTCATTGCTGAATATTACTATGGTCACCTTCGAAGTACTCCCCTTGGGAAGCTATGCACCAACACCAGATCCTAATCCACCCTTCAAAGCAATTTTGTAACTATTTTTCTGGAATGGCCTTCAGAGTTGTCGTTATATTACCCTTGATATCCTGAATGTCATCAAAATATCTTCTTTTCAATATTTCCTTTATCTTCGGGTAAAGAAAGAAGTCATTGGGGGCCAGATCAGGTGAGTAGGGAGGGTGTTCCAATACAGTTATTTGTTTACTGGCTAAAAACTCTCTCATAGACAGTGCCCTGTGAGCTGGTGCATTGTTGTGATGCAAGAGCTCCTTCGGGATCATTTTTGCACACATGAGACAATCATGGCAAGATTTTCAGTTAAAAATTTCCTGTTTCTCTATTGATGTTTACTTGGTCTGCTATGCTTCTCACAGTCAGCCGACGATTTTTACGCACAGTTCAATGAATTTTTGCAATGTTTTCTTCAGTTCTGCTCGTTACTGGCCACCCTGACCTCTCTTCATCAGTGACTCGTTCTCTTACCTCAGAAAAATGTTTCATCCATTTGTACACAGCCATTTTCTTCATGGCATTATCCCCATTAACTTGGACTAACATGTCCCTGATTTCACTTCCACTCTTGCCAAGTTTAACAAGAAATTTAATGTGTGTTCATTGCTCTAATTCAAGCGCAGACATTCTCATAAGGGCACACAAAAACACACAACGACAATGAACACCACTCAGCAAGACACCACCATATGTTGACACGAACACAACTGTGAGACACTGACATACCAAGGTTATGAAACCTTACCAAGCTGTTTGTACAGTGCTGCCAATGTAAGCGCAGAGTGGCAAGTTTACAAACTTAATTGCCATATACATATATATATATATATAAAATGTGTGTGTGTTGGGGGGGTGGTCACCCCTCTCACCTCCCTTGCTCTCTCTTGACCTCCCAGATTCAGCAGGAAGCAGCTCCTCTGAAGTCCTGGGAGGATTGGAGCAGAGGGTTGGAGTGCCCCTGAAGGATCCTGAATTCAGACCGTCTCGGGGGCTGACCACACACACAGGGAAAGGACAGCTTCAGCCCAAAGGTCCCTGAACCAGGGACTCCAAAGGTCAGGGCCCCTTGGACCACATGACTTGCCCAGTGGAGGGTGGACCACACCATAGGGGACATACATGTGGCCTGGGGCCCCCACAGAGTGGGGCTCGGTGAAAAGAAAGGCTTAACACTATCCTGAGCAAAAGGACACATGTTCCCTTGAAGGGGGTCTGTCCTCACCTGATCTCTGGAGCCCCACTGCCCACCTAGCCCAGCAGGGCCGGCTCCCTGCCCACCCCCATGCTGGGCTGAGTGTCCAGGCCATCATGGTGTCCAGATGGGGCCAGGGCTCCAGTGCCCTGAGCCGGGTGTGAAGGCTGAGGGACATGTGTGCAGACGGGCAGGGGAGCCAGAGGGCTGGGGGTCCACAGGAGGGCAGGGAGCCTGAGGATAGAGAATGCAGCTGGGGACAGGGTCCAGGGACCTGGGACAAACCTGAGGGCAGAACGGGGACTGGCTCATCCTTCAGCTTCAGTTCCAGGACATCACTGCGCTCAGACCAATCGGACCCTTTCATGTAGACACAGCGATAAGTCCCAGCAGTGACTTCACTCACTGCGGGGATGAGGAATCTGGCCTCCGTCTCCAGTGAACCACGTTGAGGTATATTTTTCTGATCCATGAATGTAGGTGTATTCTCCTTCTGCTCCAGGCGGAATCTGTGAACCCCAGCAGGGCCCCGGCACAGGATGGTCACAGGCTGCCCCCGGGCGACCACAGGGCCTGGCTCGGCTCTGATGGAGGGTCTGGGCAGGAGCCCTGGGAGGAAGCAGAGCAGGATCTCAGGGTGCAATCTGAGGCTATCACCACATCTCACAATTCACACATTTTAAGTGTGTTCAATGTGTTTTAACAACTGTACAGAGTTGTGCATCCATCACAATCCAATTTCAGAACATTTCCATTATGCTCCCCCAAATAGCCCCATACCCATTCTAGGTGGGTGTGAATTCTCATCACTGCAGAGTTATTTCCCCACAGGACACAAGGACCCTGAGACTTGGTCACATGTTGGACTTTTTTAGGGTAGAATGGGAGGTGTCGGAGCAGACTGGGGGCCCGGTTACATCTCCCTGCTCATGGCCACTTTTTAGGAAGACAGGGGACTCTGGGGGGGGGGAGGCACAGGATGAAGATGACCGGGTCATTCGTGGCGACAATGGAAGCAAGAATCTGACTCCGTAGAAATGATCTGGGCCTGGTGTGAAGGGCAGCTGAGTGGGATTGGCGGAGGGGCTATGGGGGTCCTGCAGAACTCCAGTATGTCGGGGCTGGGGGGAGGGTTGGAGCTCCAGCTCAGATCTGGTCACAAGATCCCAGTGAATGAGGACTTCTGTCTCCAGGGCAAGTCCTCTGTGCAGCGCCCATCTCTGTTCCCTCTGTATTTTCTACCTTCATCTCAGCCTTATTTCCATTCCCTTGTTATTGAGGCTTTTGAAAAACCCATCTGTCTCAACTAGGCTGGGGTAAGAAGTCAGGGATGGGGGGCGGGGGAGGCCTGGGAGGGGAAGGAAGAGAGGGTTTGTAGCCCTGAAACAGGAAGATGGCATCAAAGTTACACAGTCCCAGATAGATACAGGCAGGAGCTGGCAAAGGTTCATTCATTCATTCTGTCTTTCAACCATATCTTACTTCCTATTTCTCCATTTATTGATGCCCTCTATGGGCCATTAGGTCCACACATATGAGAAACACACACAGGGTCCCTGCCTTCATGAGCTGAAAGTCTGAGGGGAGGACAGAAGCTGATTAAGGAATTGTGCAAATCCACAGCTATACATGGTGATATGTGCCCACGGGTAAGTATGGGAATCTCGGGGCAGATGGAGGCAGAGCTGACTTCGTCTGGGAGACAGAAAGAAGAGGCACTCAACTGACACCGGAGGGCCAAGCATGAATTACCTAAGCTGAGAGATAGGGGGCGCCAGGCTCTCAACAGGGAGATGTCACCCTGGGAAAATGGTGTTTGTGAAAGTGAAAGAAAGCCAAGGTTTCTGAAGATAAGTGAGTCAGACCGCGTGGGGACAGACAGATGCAGACAAAGAGACCTGTGGGTCTTATTGTATCTGAAGATAAACCGTGAGAGGACTCTAAGGAAAATAATATTTTGTCTGAAAATAAAAAATATATGAAAAGCGAAATTTAAAAATATAGACTCACCATTTTGCATGTGAATTATCTGGCCCAGGCAGAGCACTGGAAGAGAAGCTCTAATGAGGAAAACGCCCAGTCCCCGGTTTCCCCACAGGGCTGCGATCAAAGGGGACTTGATGGAGCTGGAAGTGAGCCCCCCACAGCTTCCAAACCACTTCTCCTCAACATTACATCCGAGCACAGTCTTTCACTTTGCTCTGAAAGTCTCAAGAAAAATCCCCAACCCCCTCTTCCAAACAGGTACTCCCCTCCCTCAGTCCTTCCAGTCTGAACTAGTCCCCATACCCAGATACCTGCTTCTAGGACTGAACCTTCCATGCACAGACTTAGGCCTGGGCCAGAGCTGAAGGCATAGGCCCCCAGAGGGGACCACTTTCCTCCCCAGGGTCCCAGGGTCTCCTAGGCTGGACTGAGGACTGAACAAAGACACAGACCCCTCCCCAAGCTCCCACCCCCTCTGCTCCTGGAACTCTGCCCCTCCATTCCAGACTCACCAAGGCCCAGAAGGGTGGTGGGGTGAGGGGTCATGGCCAGCCCCTGCTGCCTGTGCCGAACTGGAGCCAGTGGGTGCAAGGACAGAGCCTGCAGCTGACACAAGAGGACAGGATGTGTTGGCCAGGGGCCGTCGTTGGGTTTCTACATCAACTACCTCACCCAAAGGGGAAGCACGCTGTCCTGTCCTTTCCACTCTTCCTACTAATGAGACAGAGGGAGGGCCTTGGCTTCCATTTCTTTCCTCCATGCTCAGATGAGGCTGATCTCATCTCCAACGAACCCCCTGGGTGTGGACCTCACTGTCATCTACCGGACAAGGAAGAGAATGGATTTGTGTCACAAAGTGACTTCACCATCAGTCCCGACTTCACCGTCAGTCCCGACTCCACAAACTAACCATCTGTCTTGGGCAAGGCATTACGCCACTTTACGCTAACATGTCCTCATATTTAATATGGAAGCCTAAACTGTCCCTCCAAGTATTTAATGTTATGATACATGTTAAATTCCCAGCAAGAGACTGAGTGCATCAAAAATGTCCTACTAACATGAGTTCTTTTCCCAGCTTCCCTCACTGGAACCAGAGTAAGGTTAGGGTGGCCCATCAGCATATGCAAAATACTAAAGGCATTGATCTGCCTGGAGAGAGGCCTTGGGAGCTGGACCTGGGGTTGGGGCCAGATGAGGCACCGCTGGGTGCTGGGATAAAGGGTCAGACCAGGGGTGGCGATGGCGTGTTGTGCATCACAGAGCTACAATGACAATCACATTGCATTATAAATGCATCAAATCAGTATGTTTACACCTTAAACTTACATAATGTTCTGTGTCAATTATATCTCAATTTAAAAAAAAAGGTGAGTTGGCATCAGAATAGCTGAAATATTCCAGAGATACTCTGGCCTGGTCACTCCATGTTGACCAGTCCTCCTTCTGGGATGCAATGGGGTAATGGCCCACAGTGGACGCACGTGGATAGACCCGGGTTCTCGAGCTGGACGCTGGACCCATCTGTATGTTATTGCCCTCGGTCTTGCCCTCATTACATGGAGTAACTGATCAGATCTCAAAGACCCCTGTTTCTGAGCATCCCCAGCTTGGCTCAGCCAAATAGGAGTGTCTGCAGTGGGGTCTGTGGGACAGAATCTGATTGAGCCCAGAATGCCCAGGGGTCTCTGCTTTGGGTGTTTTCAGCTCACCTGCAAAGCCCTCTTTAAGCTGCCTGTGTTAGCCCACGCCTCTGTGTTCCACTCCTCCGGCTAGGAGACCCACGGTGTTCAGCCCAGAAAGCAACCTAGGGCAGGGGTGGACTCACCTACTTGCGTCTGGATCCTTTGGCCTTGATGGAACGCTGGAAGGAAGCCTTCATGACATGTGATGCACCTTCATCTGGATCCTGTCATCTTGGCTGTAACCCTTGGCAGCCTGGCCTGGGCTTGGACAGTGGATGAACTTGGCTTTCCACAGGCTCCCACCTTCAGCTCTGGGTTGCAGAAGGCCACGTCTTTAGGACAGGAGTTTCCACCAAAACCCTCTCCTCTCATTCCTTTCTGGACTCACTGAGACATACACACAGGCGATGAATATGGGGGATGTAAAATGCTGCACCCAGAGAAGGAGTCAATCTAAACTAAAAAGCGCATAGGATGTGGCATGCTAGCACCTGCACCGCAGTTTAAATAACCATAGATAAAAGTGAGCAGTTTTCCTCCCACTCTGTGTAGGTCACTGATGTTCCCCAGGTTGGGGCTAAGGAGGGAGCAGAGCTTCCTGAAATTTTTCTACAGGTGACCCAAAGCTGTATTTGGCAACCCTCATCCCCTTACTAGTGCCCAGCATGGGTGCATTTGTGCCCCAAGACTCAGATCCCAAATGGTCACACTGTGGTTTTATCAAATGCTAAACTCACATCAAAGCTTAAATATTTTTACTTTCCTGAACTACAAGGTATTATTATTATTATTATTATCATCATAATATACAATATTCCTCTACCAACTAAATATGCAAATATATTATTCTTGTAAAATTAAAAAAAAAAACGTTTGAAACGCACAAATTCAAATGATTATTCCAACTAGAATTTTGACTCAGTACCGCTTATAAAGACATTAATTTTCCCTCATGGAGGTCAGGGAATTACTGAATGTATCTTAGAATTCCATTTAACCGAAAAATATGATACATATAGAAACTATTTCTTGAGGGTTTTATAAAAAAATCCTCTTATTCATTGGCCAAATAAGATTTCCCTCTCCTTCTTCCTCCCCTCACCTCTCTCTCTCTCTCATCATCTGTCTAGCTTTCTCTCATGTATCTATATGTGTTTATCATTTATATACATCTATCTATTAAACATCATTATTGTCTCTCATCTATCATTTATCTATATTATATTTATGTACCAATATCTGTGTATCATCTAAGTATCATTTGTTTATGTAGCATCTATCTATCTATCATCATCTATATTAGCAAATCTCTCTCCTTCTCTCTCTCTCCCTCCTTCCCTCCCTTCCTCCTTTTTTCCCTCCTTTCCTCTCTCTTCCCAATCCTAAACTTTATTTTTCATAAGGACAGTCCTATAGCTCCTGGCCCTTGGATCAACACAATTTTCCCTTGACTTGATGCTACATTCTGTAGTGTGCTGGAGCCAGCCAGCTCAAACCAGCTCCCAATGTCACGTTCTGTGGTTCCTCTTTGGTAGCTGGAAATCAGCCATGGTGTGAGTATTTATACCATGGCAAATGCTACAAATCAGATATCTTTTTCAGAGATCTGACTGTTGTACATTTGCCACCATGCTGCCGGTCGATATCCAAAGGCCAATTTAGAGAAAATTAAGCAGAGCAAGTAAAGAAAACCCCTGTGATATCAATATCCTTCAGAAGAACCAGAAAATTGATTAAGTCATTTTTGTGTCTGTGGTGTACCCCATCCTGCCCCATTCCTTCCTCACCTCAAGTAAATAGCATCTGAAATCTC